AATTCACCCTAGTTACTCGGACCAAGTCTTTCCACGCCTCGATCGTTGCCTTACCAATATTAGGGTTTGGTTGTATTGTAGTGTATATTGGTATTACCTAGAAAGAGGATTATTTCGCCCTTTACAACGTACGTACGTCGTCAATCCGTGTAAATTGCATATACTCTGTCAAATGTTACATGTATTTGGTATTACAGTACATCAACTCCTTAAAAGCTTTTAGCTTTCGAAATTAAGTCTTGCAAAGTTTCAAATACAAAAAAAAAAAAAAGAGAAGTAATTTCACCTTATATTGTAATAGTAATGTTAAATGATGAAAGTTTATCAACCGTTTGCAATGACCAAATTGATTCATTGGATAAAGATGATTTTAAGAACCAAGTCTCTAATCCTTTGAAACAAGCACGTTTTTTATTGTATGATAGCAAATTACAAGATTTTCTAAATAAAATTGTTGAAGAATTATGTAAAATATATAATGAATTAAAAAAAAATAATCAATGTGATTCATTATCAATTTTTAACGAGACATGTCAGTTTTTGGAACGAAAACAGCAAACATTAGAAAATATAATCAATCTATGCATAGATAATAAAACAAACTCTATACTTTTAAATATTCTTTCAGATTGGTATCTTCCTGATAATGAGACATTTATTGATTGTCAAAAATCAGCTGAGATGGGAAATTCATATAAAATGAATAATCTTGGCAAATGTTATGAATATGGACTTGGAGATGAAAAAGATAAATGCAAAGCATTTATTTATTATCTAAAATCTTCCGAGATGGGGAATATTAATGGAACATATAATGTTGGTTATTGTTATCAATACGGTATTGGAGTTGAAATTGATGATTATAATGCTTTCGTTTATTATAAAAAATCCATGGAAATGAAACGCTATGAAAGAAATCGTGAATATGGAAAATGTACATATTGTAATAAGTATAACACTTCTCCAGCGTGGTGTCAATCGTGTGATCCTCAAAAAGTAATTGAAGGGTGGGCAAGTGGAAATAAGCATATTGATGATTGCATCAAAGCATTTCAAATAATAGCAACAAAATATGAAGAAGTAATTGAATGGATTTCTTTTGATAAGCTAGATAACTTGCGTATAGTTAAAGAGGATAGATCTGAGTCAATATTCATAGCAACAAGGCTTGATGGAATTCGAATAACAAAGAATGATTATGACGAAAAATATATTAAGTCACGTACATCGCCTTGCACAGTTGCACTCAAGATTTTTCCTAAGTCTCAGGACAATGTTTTAACCTTTATTAAGGAGGTAAGTTGCCGTAGCTAATTTGTTTATTGAATAGAATAATAAAATACTATTAACACGTAACTTTAATCACTATTTAAGTTTAAAATCAAATGCGATTAAAAGGTCATATATATGGAATAACTAAAAATTTAATCACCAATGAATATATGATGGTATTTGACGAATTTTTCTTTCAAAGACGTAGTTTTTATGGGATATGTATACATTGCAAACGTCACGGCACCTCAAATACTTGGTGTCAATTGTGTGATACTAACATAATTGCTCAAGGATGGACAAGTGGTGATAAAGATATCGATGATTGTATAAGAGAATTTCAAATTGAAGCTACTAATTATGAAGAAATGATTGAATGGATTCCATTTGACAAAATGGCTAATCTGCAAAAAATTCGAGATGAAGGATTTGAATCAATATTTACAGCAACTTGGTTAGACGGAATACGAAAACCTAATTATAATGAATATCTTCAATCAAAAACGTCATGTACAGTCGACCTCATGACATTGCCTAATTCTCGAACAAACACTATAAATTTTATAAAAGAGGTATGTTATTTAACACTTTATTAATAACTATAACGTAATAAGATTGTTAACGTGTTTAATTCATTCATTTTACAAGTTTAGAAATCAAATGGAAATAGAGGACAGTCTAAATAGAATATATGGAATAACTCGGAACACAGAAACTAATGAATATATGATTGTATTTGATCGTTATAAAAGATATTCTGATTTTGGAGAATGTACTCAATGTAAACGATTCAATACTTCAGATGCTTGGTGCTTATCATGCGATCCTAAAATAACGATTCAGGAATGGTCAAGCGGAAATAATGCTATTGATAACTGCATAAAAGAATTTCAGCTTAAAGCCGAAAAATTTGAAGATGTAATTGAATGGATTTCATTTGACAGACTGGTAAATCTGCAAAAGCTTAATAAAGATCCTGAATCAGCGTTTACAGCAACTTGGCTGGACGGAATACGAGAAATAATATGGAATAATGAATGTAAATATATACGGTCACGTAAATCATCATGTATAGTTAAGCTCAAGAAATTGCATTGTTCTAATGCAAATATTTGGGATATCATTAAAGAAGTAAGTTACATTTATCCACTTTTACATAATAGTACATTGTATAATAAATACAAAACTACTAACACACATGCTAGTTTAAAGATCACATGCAGTTAAAAAAGAACGGGCTTGCCATATATGGACTAACACAAAATTCACTCACAAATGAATATATGATTCTATGTGAATTGGATTTTAAAAGAAGTAGCATATATGGAAAATGTGCACAATGTAAGCGATTTAATACTTCGAATGCTTGGTGTCAATCGTGTGATCCTGACATATTGGCTCAAGGATGGACCAGCGAAAATAAAGAAATTGATGACTGCATCCGAGAATTTCAATTTAGAACCACAGAATATGAGAAAGCCATTGAATGGATTCCATTTGACAGATTAGCTAATTTGCAAAGGATTAATGAAACAACATTTATAGAACCTGAATTAGTTTATAAAGCGACCTGGCTGGACGGAAAACGAATTATTAAATATGATTTTGAACATAATTATGACATTAAGTCACGTTCATCACCATGTTCAGTCAAACTTATGACATTATATTGCCTTCAAACAAATGCTTTAGATTTCGTAAAAGAAGTAAGTTAATTTTTACCTTATAAAATCATGATGTACAAATAATTTAAAATAATGTAAAATTAAATTCAATTAATTTTCTTAAGCTCAAAACTTATTTAAAATTGAATTCAAGGTATTTACGAATTGGTACTATATTCAATATTTATGGTTTGACAATAAACACAAAGACTGATGAATTTATGGTTGTATTTGAGGGATTCTTTCATGAAAGATTAGGAAAATGTGTACAATGTGGTAGAACTAATCTTTTCAAGAGTGGTGTTATTTATGTGGTCCTCAAGGAATAACTCAATTGTACACAAGTGGAAATAGTGACATTGATAATTGTATCAGTGAATTTCAACTTCAAGCCACAGTATATGCTAAACTAATTGAATGGATTTCATACAATAGATTAGTTGATGTACAATTAATTGGTAAAGGAGGATTTGGCACAGTATTTTCTGCAGTTTGGTTAGATGGTAAACGGAGTGTAAAATCTGAAAATGGACAAACAAAATTAACACGTAAAAAATTTAGTGTAGTTGCACTCAAAACATTGTCTGACTCACAAATAAGCCTTTCAGACTTTTTAAAAGAAGTAAGTTTGAATCATCAATTATTACCAAATAAATTATTGATATATCCTGTAAACTAATTTATTTGTATAAATAATTAAGTTTAAAAATCATGTGCAATGTAGACTAAATAGTGGAATAAGTGGTAGAGGTAATATACCAAAAATATATGGATTGACACAAAATACAGAAACTGGAGAATATTTAATGGCATTAAAGTATGCAAATCGAGGAAACTTTCATGATTTTATTATGCCAAATTTTAGAGAGATTTCATGGGAAGATAAATTACTCCAGCTTAGGAGTATATCATATGATTTGTTTCAAATTCATGAAACAAATTATGTTCATCGAGATTTTCATAGTGGCAATATTTTGCTAGAAAAATATATTGATGGACTACTTAAACCATTTATTGCGGATCTGGGATTGTCCAGAGAAAAGAATGACTCTTCAGAGGAACATTTCTATGGAGTTATGCCTTATGTAGTACCAGAAGTTTTGTTAGGTAATCAATATACATCAGCTGCTGATATATATAGTTTTGGTGTTATTATGGCAGAAATGTCAACAGGTAAAAGGCCCTTTGATGGTCATCAGTATGATGAAGATTTTGCAATAAATATCATATGTAATGGATTAAGGCCAGACTTTGCACCAGAAACACCTGATATTTACATTGAATTAGCTAAGCAATGTATGGATTTAAATCCAAGGAAAAGGCCTACTGCAAGATACATTTATTCAAAATTTTATCAATGGTGGCTAATCATGCATGAACCAATATTTAATAAAGAAGAACTTTGTATAAGAAATAAATTCTTAGCTGCTGATGAAGTAATTAAATCGATGCCAATTACTTTACTGAAGCATCCAAACTCCGTGTACACCAGTAAAGCTATTAATACGCAAAAAATAAAAAACGCGTTGAACTTATCTAAAGGTATTACAAATATTTACAAGTTTGAAAACCTTTTAATATTAAAGTAATTTATTATTATTTAATTACACAGATTCTGATAGAATTAAATTAATAATATTCGACAATATAGAGGATAATATAGAGAATATTTAGTATGTGATTTAAAATTTCAATCGTTATATTCGTGAGCAGCTAAATTATTGGTGTTTTTCTTTTTAAACAAATTTGTTCTTTAAACTATATTCCAGGTTGAAGTTTATACACGGGTTATCCGTAGTAAGCACAACCCGGATATTTGATTACTCGCAATTCCTAGATAGAGGTATCCGGGTAGTAAGTAGCAGCTAGTAGGTATCTAAGTAGTATATATGAGTAGCAGACGTCAGACGTCTGGGTTAAAATCTTTGGGTCACTAATCAGTTACCAACATTTGTTTTATTAAAAAGCACTTTTTTTTCGAACACTTTTATTTCATTCCCCTGTCACATGAATTTCGCACCCTTGACCATTTCGTATTGTTTTTTTTTTATTTATTGTTATCTAATTTTCTTGTTTATTGTTATTATTATCTTGATTGAAAATTGAGATCAATAATGATTAAATGCTAATCCAAATAAATCAAATTTATATATTATTAAAACAGTTTTAGTTATTGATTTTATTGCAATTATATAAAGTTTCTCAAACATATTAAATTTATAAAAATATACAATATAACTAGTTTTATATTTTATCAAGTTTGCATTAGTATTGTCTGCATCACTAGTCCTAAATTTGTATACGCAGTCGGCTAGAAAGTATTTTATTCTTCGATTGCTATTTTATTATTATCGCACTAAAATCAGCCATATAAGAAATAAGTATACTGAAATTAATTATTGAAAAAAATGAAAAAATTTAAACACGTAGCATACATAATTGTAAGGAAAAGTATGCGGAAAGCACGTAAAATTATACGTAAAAACGAACAGGACTAAACGGTGCTCCCCAGTGTAGGAAATCTGTTTTGAGATTTATGTTCTCATGAGAACATGTTTATTTAATTTAATGTTCTCAAAATTTTTTTTATGTTCTCAAATAAAAAATCTCTCTCTCTCTCTCTCTCTCTCTCTCTCTCTCTCTCTCTCATTCACTTACTGCACTTACTGATAGTGTTTTTAAATTCAGTTTAATT